TTATGAGTTCAATAGACAAGAATTATCGAAAATAGGCATCCTAGTAGCCAAAATGGCCTTACTTGAGCCATTTTGGTTGAAATTGCGTCCCAAAACCTCTTACTTGCTCTTTTCTTGTAATCTCAAGCATTATTCACCTATAACTAAGTGATAATGACATTTTTTAGCTATTTATGAGTTCAATAGACAAGAATTATCGAAAATAGGCATCCTAGTAGCCAAAATGGCCTTACTTGAGCCATTTTGGTTGAAATTGAGTCCCAAAAGCTCTTACTTGCTCTTTTCTTGTAATCTCAAGAATTATTCACCTATAAATAAGTGATAATGACATGTTTTAGATATTTATGAGTTCAATAGACAAGAATTATCGAAAATAGGCATCCTAGTAGCCAAAATGGCCTTACTCGAGCCATTTTAGTTGAAATTGCGTCCCAAAACCTTTTACTTGATCTTTTCTTGTAATCTCAAGCATTAATCACCTATAACTAAGTAATAATGACATGTTTTAACTAGTTATAAATTCAATAGACAAGAATTATCGAAAATAGGCATCCTAGTAGCCAAAATGGCCTTACTTGAGCCATTTTGGTTGAAATTGCGTCCCAAAACCTCTTACTTGCTCTTTTCTTGTAATCTCAAGCATTAATCACCTATAACTAAGTAATAATGACATGTTTTAACTAGTTATAAATTCAATAGACAAGAATTATCGAAAATAGGCATCCTAGTATCAAAAATGACCTTACTTGAGCCATTTTGGTTGAAATTGCGTCCCAAAACCTCTTACTTGCTCTTTTCTTGTAATCTCAAGCATTAGTCACCTATAAATAAGTGATAATGACATTTTTTAACTAGTTATGAGTTTAATAGACATGAATTGTAGAAAATAGACATCATAGTAGCCAAAATGGCCTTACTTGATCCATTTTGGTTGAAATTACATCCCAAAACCTCTTACTTGCTCTTTTCTTGTAATATCAAGCATTAGTCACCTATAACTAAGTGATAATGACATTTTTTAACTAGTTATGAGTTCAATAGACAAGAATTATCGAAAATAGGCATCCTAGTAGCCAAAATGGCCTTACTTGAGCCATTTTGGTTGAAATTGCGTCCCAAAACCTCTTACTTGATCTTTTCTTGTAATCTCAAGAATTATTCACCTATAACTAAGTGATAATGACATTTTTTAACTAGTTATGAGTTCAATAGACAAGAATTATCGAAAATAGGCATCCTAGTAGCCAAAATGGCCTTACTTGAGCCATTTTGGTTGAAATTGCGTCCCAAAACCTCTTACTTGCTCTTTTCTTGTAATCTCAAGCATTATTCACCTATAAATAAGTGATAATGACATGTTTTAGCTATTTATGAGTTCAATAGACAAGAATTATCGAAAATAGGCATCCTAGTAGCCAAAATGGCCTTACTTGAGCCATTTTGGTTGAAATTGCGTCCCAAAACCTCTTACTTGCTATTTTCTTGTAATCTCAAGCATTAATCACCTACAACTAAGTAATAATGACATGTTTTAACTAGTTATAAATTCAATAGACAAGAATTATCGAAAATAGGCATCCTAGTAGCCAAAATGGCCTTACTTGAGCCATTTTGGTTGAAATTGCGTCCCAAAACCTCTTACTTGCTCTTTTCTTGTAATCTCAAGAATTATTCACCTATAAATAAGTGTAATGACATGTTTTAACAAGTTATGAGTTCAATAGACATGAGTTGTAGAAAATAGGCATCATAGTAGCCAAAATGGCCTTACTTGAGCCATTTTGGTTGAAATTGCGTCCCAAAACCTCTTACTTGCTCTTTTCTTGTAATATCAAGCATTAGTCACCTATAACTAAGTGATAATGACTTGTTTTAACTAGTTATGAGTTCAATAGACATGAATTGTAGAAAATAGGAATCCTAGTAGCCAAAATGACCTTACTTGAGCCATTTTGGTTGAAATTGCGTCCCAAAACCTCTTACTTGCTCTTTTCTTGTAATCTCAAGCATTATTCACCTATAAATAAGTGATAATGACATGTTTTAGCTCTTTATGAGTTCAATAGACATGAATTATCGAAAATAGGCATCCTAGTAGCCAAAATGGCCTTACTCGAGCCATTTTGGTTAAAATTGCGTCCCAAAACCTCTTACTTGATCTTTTCTTGTAATATCAAGCATTAGTCACATATAACTAAGTGATAATGACATGTTTTAACTAGTTATGAATTCAATAGACAAGAATTATCGAAAATAGGCATCCTAGTAGCCAAAATGGCCTTACTTGAGCCATTGAAATTGCGTCCCAAAACCTCTTACTTGCTCTTTTCTTGTAATCTCAAGCATTAGTAACCTATAAATAAGTTATAATGACATGTTTTAACTAGTATTTAGTTTAATAGACAAGAATTATCGAAAATAGGCATCCTAGTAGCCAAAATGGCCTTACTTGAGCCATTTTGGTTGAAATTGCGTCCCAAAACCTCTTACTTGCTCTTTTCTTGTAATCTCAAGCATTAGTCACCTATAACTAAGTGATAATGACATTTTTTAGCTATTTATGAGTTCAATAGACAAGAATTATCGAAAATAGGCATCCTAGTAGCCAAAATGGCCTTACTTGAGCCATTTTGGTTGAAATTGCGTCCCAAAACCTCTTACTTGATCTTTTCTTGTAATCTCAAGAATTATTCACCTATAACTAAGTGATAATGACAGGTTTTAGATATTTATGAGTTCAATAGACAAGAATTATTGAAAATAGGCATCCTAGTAGCCAAAATGGCCTTACTTGAGCCATTTTGGTTGAAATTGCGTCCCAAAACCTCTTACTTGCTCTTTTCTTGTAATCTCAAGAATTAGTCACCTATAAATAAGTGATAATGACATGTTTTAACTAGTTATGAGTTCAATAGACATGAATTGTAGAAAATAGGCGTCATAGTAGCCAAAATGGCCTTACTTGAGCCATTTTGGTTGAAATTGCGTACCAAAACCTCTTACTTGCTCTTTTATTGTAATCTCAAGCATTAGTCACATTTAACTAACCCCAATTATTATTACTTTACTTCTACTAACTCACGTTTTGTGTATTCTAAGTTTTGCAAGGGGCAAACGGGACATCCATACACGAGCGAGGAACTTCATGTAATTCGGGAGATGTTGGCGACCTACATCACATTTAATTTGTAAATATCATTTACTAGCTAGCTACTAATTCATCAATCCTAGCCTTAGCTTACTAATTATGTACTATACATGAAACATTTTTCTAATTTATATCATCTCTTGCGATTGTTATTATTAATTATTTATGTATTGTTATTAATAATACTAATTATTGTTACTATTATCATTATTATTATTATTATTATTACTATTATAATATTAATAATAATTATTATTAATATTAATATTATAATAATAATAATAATAATTATTATTATTAATATTAATATTATAATACTAATAATATTGCAGCCAAAAAAAAAACAGGTCAATATTAGTGCAGCAAAAAAAAAAAAAAAAAAAGAATACAGGTCAATGGCAACAGTTAACCGTTACCAATATTAAAAAAAAAAAAGCGCGCCATTGTATTTGGCAACGGTTAACCGTTTCCAACTCAAGCAATTGGCAACAGTTAACCGTTGCCAATTATTTTATTTTTTTTTTAAAAAAAGGCTCTATGGTCATTGGCAACGGTTAACCGTTGCCAATTGCTTGAGTTGGCAACGGTTTTGAACCGTTGCCAATTATTTTGGGATTTGGCAACCCTCAAATACGCAACAGTTCAAAACCGTTGCCTTTGGGGGGGGGGGTTTGAACCGTTGCCAATTTTCTCTTTTCGTGTAGTGACCTTAAGCGCATAAAGCACCGCAAACCTATCCCTCAGTGTATAAACAACTTAAGTGCATTTAGGCATCGCATTTCCTTTCATTCCTGTGTACTAAGACACTTGATAGCTCAATTCACATGCTTATAACATCAATAAAAATCATATGAACCATAATAAAATTCTCTTTTTATATTCCAATCCAAATTAAACATTTAGTTTAATTAAATAAGCCTTTAAGCATGCCAATAATAAAAGTATGGTCCATATACATTATTCCAAACATCATAAATTTCACAATAATTCATTTCAAATAAATCATGCCTCATAAATCAATTATTATCAATTCCATTTCAATTTCATATAACCAATCCAATTCAACAATTCCAACCAATTCCTAGCAAGATATTAACTTGGAATCAATTTAAATAAATCCTAACATGTTTCTTCACGCTTAATAAATTTCGAGTACGCAAACGTACCTCGCATAAGCTCCTAAAGTAGCCGTATACACTAGAACACTTCCCAAACCAAGTCTCCTACATAGTAGGACAATAAAACTACATCAATTTTTCTTGTATACACAATTTCCAACAACTTAAACTCACTTTAAATAACTTATAATAATCTGAAAATTATTGTAAAACCCTTAACTAAACTCCTCTTTAATGGGTTATTTCACCCTTTTAATTAAATTGTCAAAAAGAGTACTTATTAAAATCAATTTTCAGCACTTTAGAATAATCAAAACCCATTAAAACTTCATTAAAATTAAACTTTATATGCCCAATTAAAATTAGAAACAAGAAACATATAAAACCCCAAATATATTGATATTAGAACCCTAAAAATCAAGTCTTGAATAAATTAAAAACCCTAACTTTAATTATATCAAAATCTAAAAATAGTACTCCAAATAATAGTCTGAAAATATTAATTAAAATCTTTAAAACATGATTTTGATACTAAATAAACATATTTAATCAATTAAAACAAAAACCCAAAATTTATAAACAAAATAAGAAAACAAGAGGAAAAGGAGAAGGAGGGTGTCACGCTTGGCAGCTGGGCTGTGGTGTCGCCGGCGGGAGGTGGTGTCAGGTGGTCACGGGGGTCGGCGTCGGCGTCAGCGTGGGCTCCGGTGAGTGTGGCGTGAGGAGCAACTATAATGAAATTAGTGGGATTTCCCACTGCTCGTACACCGGAGGCATCGTCGAAGGATTCTGTAAGTCCTCGAACTTTTTATTTTTATTTTTTGAAAAGCAGACTTCCGCCTAAAAAATCCAGATCCTCCAAGGTGGATCCGGATTTTCTAGGCAGATGTCTGGTATTTTTTTTCTTTCTATTTTTTTACCTTTTTTATTGATTAATTAATCAAATCATTTTTTTTGAAACCAATTAATCAAATTTATTAATTTAATCTTTGTATGATACTTATAATTTTTATTGTGATTATTATTATTTTTGTAATAATTTGAGTAATTAGTATTAGTATTATTAGTTAATATTAGTTATTTTTGTGATATTAGTTAATGTTAATGTTTGTTAATATTAGTTAAAGTTATGATATTAGTTAATGTTAGTGTTAGTTGATGTTAATCAATATTAGTTAATGTTAGTGTTAGTTGATGTTAGTTAATATTAGTTATTTTTGTGATATTAGGTAATGTTAGTTAATGTTAATGTTAGTTAATATTAGTTAATGTTGTGATATTAGTTAATATTAGTGTTAGTTGATGTTAGTTAATATTAGTTAATAGTGTGATATTAGTTAATGTTGTGACATGTTGGAGAATTATTTTGTGTGTTTTCTTTTATTTTTATAGGATTTGGAGTTTGAAGACGGCGGTGATTGTGTGAATTATAGTGTGAATTTTGTCACGGACATGTTATTTCCAACGTTTGATGATGTAGTTAAATGGGAGGATGCTGTTTCCTTAAATCTGAGATTTATTTTAGTTAAATCGTCTTACAACAAAACCAGAGATGGTCGGCCGTATCGATATTTGAGATGTGATCGGGGACGGAAGAGCAAGCCGAGAGATTTTGAGACTGCAATATGAAAGGACACAAAAACCAAAGCTAATGGTTGTCCTTTCTACATCAAGATATATTATGAGTTCATCACAGACAGTAGGAAGATCCGGGCAATATATGATGCAAATGGGACCATAACTATCCAATGATTGTGTATCAGGAGGGTCATTGTAAAATTAGTGGCTTGGGCCTGGATGCAAAGAAGGTTGTGTGTAACATGACAAAGTCCAAGGTTGCACCGCGTAACATCATGGCAACTATTGCAGAGCAATTTCCTGATGATCATCCAAACATCAGACACATTTACAATTGCCGGAATGACTTGAGAACGGAGATGTCTGAAGGCAGAGGAGTTGTTCAACAATTTCTTCATTTGGCGAGACAAAGTCAGTATATTTAGTGAGTCATGGCCGATGACCTCGGCATTCTACAACATGCATTTATGGTGCACCCAATCACGGTAAACATACAACGCACATACCCACATGTGATCGGTATGGATTCGACATACAAGAGCAACCGATACGGGATGCCGTTCTTTGAGATAGTATGTGTAACACTGACAAATCAGAATTTCCTCGTTGGTTATGTGTTCATGCGCAACGAGTGCACGACAAGCTATCGGTGGGTGTAGCAGAGATTAAGGGAGTTGATTGGGTATGATAAACAACCATCGGTATTTTTGTCAGACCGTGAGCTTGGCCTCAGTGCGGCATTGAGAGAAGTGTTTCTAGGGACGTCGCATTTACTTTGTCGATGGCACATTAACAAAGATGTGGAAGCTAGGGTGACTGATATGTTCAAAAATAAGAGGATCGGTGCGAGTTTTAAAAATGGAAAATGGAAACGTATCATGGATGCTACAACCGAGGCGGATTATAATGCTGCTGTAGCTACAATGAAAGCTCGGTTGGCAAGTTATCCGGCAATGATTACTTACGTTGAGAGAACCTGGCTTTGTCATAAAATCAAATTTGTGACATTTTGGACGAACCAAGTTCTTCACATTGGTAACACGAGTAATTGTAGAGTTGAGAGCCAACATTCGGCAGCGAAGACGTGGTTTGAATCATTGACAAGTTCGTTGTTATAATGTTGTAGTTGTTGACTTTACTTCGTTTTAGTAATTTTAATTAAAAATCATAATATTTTTTTATAATCTGAATCAACATCAGGTTCTTTGGATACCGTATGGGCCCGAGTACATTGTCATATTGGTTATCAGATCATTGCTATTCGTAATGGTTTGGAGGCATCAAGATCGAAAATTGGTGAGAAGTATAGACAATTGCCACTGTCACGTATAAATGGCAAAGTGTCTCAACATTGTTTGAAAGTTCTTGATGATGAGACGAGAAGGACGAGGTAGTTGAGTTACCAGGTGTATGAGCGTTGTGGATGTGCAATGCGTGTGACCCATGGTTTACCATGTGCTTCCCAGATACATGATTCGCTAGTTGCACAGTCAAGCTTGTATATCAGGCAAATTCATCCATTCTGGAAGACCTTGGTTGTTGGTGTTGATATACCTGTGTTCGTTAACGATTCAACTGAGGAAGCTACACATTTTCGTTCCTTGGTTGATGAGGTCATTGGTAGTGATCCTGTTGTACTTCGAAATGTATCTCGTATCATTGAAGAGGAGCTGCATCCGGATCATACAAACCTTGAAGAACCACATGTAAACCACAACGTTCGGGGTCAACGAAGGAACAATGATACCAGGCGTGATCCTTGTTATATCGAACATGTCAACCGTCGACACACTCAACGTGGTACACAACAAACAGGTACAACCTCAGGTAAGTCATGCAATTACACGTATTTGCACTTGTGAAGTACACGCCTATTGTGAATTACACGTATTTCACCTTGTTGCGTACTAATAAATGAACATTAATTTTGCGCAAAATATCAATGTGACATCAGTCAATGCAGGTATTTGCACTTGCTTCCAGGATCGATGTTGCCTTACATCACGGCATGGAAGGATGTCATTGGTGATGGAAACTATGGCTTTCGTTGTGTGTCTGACTTCTTCTTCGGTGATCAAGAGCAATGGTTTACCGCTCGGGAAACGATAGCAAACGAGGTCGCCAGTCATCCAACGTTGTACGAAAGGATTTATGGGATTGGAAGGGTTTGGATGAATGTAGAACGTATTCGATGGGATGGTGGGGCAGTCGATTCACGGCATTGGATTGTAGCAATTCAAGATTTATTTCCTATTGCTACTTGGTTCAACGCAAGGGTGATTATTCTCAGTGTAGGCACCATACCAACCTGCTACTACCCATGCCTCACGGTGTTACCGTTGCGAGCACGAAACACGGTCAGGGCACCCGCTCGAGAGTTCGTGATCGCTACAGTTGGTGATCACATTTCATTCGTCTTGATCTTGCACAAGATTCACCTTTTTTCCCGATTGCAGGTTGGTGGACCGAGCACCACGAGCCAAGTGTTGATGGATGGGATTAGCAATATGAAGTTAGAAGGAACATATGGGATGCATTAATTAGGTAGTGAACTCATTTATGTACTTTCTCTAAGGTGAACAGTTGTAGCTATGTAATATAGATTAATAAAAGTAATTAAACTAAGTTCCAACAAAACCAAATATGAAAGTGTCCAGTTCTTACATTACATGCCGAATACAAAGTAATATAAAACAATGAAGACAAGTAATATAAAACAATGAAGGCAAGTAATTTACAATCCCATCATCGCCTTCCAATCAACTACCAGCTGCTTAGTCGTTGCCCTTGTTTCAGGCGACATGTTGGGATACTCATCCAGTGCTTTTTGGTGAATCTCCATGGACCGACTCATCCACTACAAATAAGGAAACAAATATTATAGAAATTACAATTACTAGAAGTCGGATTAATAGTATAATAAAACACAACTACTTACGTAATTCGTGTTAGTCCTCTCAGGTAGACTTCTACTCCCAGCTGATGAACCCCCAGGAGATACATGAGGGTGAGAAAATTTGTACAGCCACTGCATGTAACCAGGAGCAAACGTAGGAGCTCGACGAACAAATCTGGTGTGGGTACTTAAAACTACACTAAAAGACGAACCAGGGACAAACCTAGTCCACATCACAGATGTCATCTCGGTCGAAAATTCTACCCGATACATCTTCAAGTTGGTCTGTCTCTTGGCCTTCTCATGATAATGCTCCTTGAAATGTTCTGCACGAATCCAAGTTGTCGAACCACTCAATCAGGCATGTATGGCTTAATGATGCTACGATACTGGATGCACCCAGTAAATAGAGTGGGTGGCACATGTCGTGCAGGATCAACTCCGTACGGGAGCCAGTTAGCCTCACGGCAGTCAGCTCATCCAGTCTAGCACGAAAAGCTAAGAGGCTCTCCATGCTCTTGTTAGGGCATCCCGATCCAACATCCTAAGCAGACGCACGAGGGATATTAAGCTCCCTTGTCAAGGTACCCTGGTGAGGCTGAAAGCACGGAAAGTACTCGTAAATCCACACCTGCAGAAGCGTGAGACAACCAGCGATCGAATCAACATCTTTTCGTGATGCCGTACCCAACTGCCGATACAGGTAGGCTAGAGTAGCGGAACCCCAAGAGTACTCATTAATCGGGACATCATTAACAACAAGCTCGTGGAGAAAGGAAGGATGAGTGCGGTTACCACTCTTGTCCAAAAATAATGATCCTCGTAGTACTAACCACATGTATGCAGTATAATAGACACTGAAGGGCCTCTGCGCCTCCAAAGTCGTACCAAAAATCCTCTCAGTCAGCACGCCTAGGGATGTCAATGGGGCGGGGCGGATGTTGGTCTTCCCATCCCCATCTAAAATTTTCATCCCCATCCCCGCGGCAGGTCTAAAATTCATCCCCATCCCCGCCCCGGCGAGTACAATTCCAAAACCATCCCCGCCCCAACCCCCACTTGGATATCCACCCCCACCTAATCCCCACCTAAGACCCGCCTAATCCCCGCCTCCCAAATACACAATCCTTCATAATTAATAAAGGTTGCAAAAAGAAAAAAAATTATTGTTAATATTACACATTTTTTTGTTTATAATATAAGTGTATTACAAAGTATTATATTTACTATTTTATTTTACATAATTTTTTTTTATAAAATAGTATAAAAGTATATAATTTTGTTTTTAAAAATATATGGATGTAGGGATAGGGTGGGTACGAAGTGGGGTAGGTGGAGATGGGGCGGGTACGAAGTGGGGCGGGTGGGATGGGGCGGGTACAACCTAAAATCCACCCCCGCCCCATCTCCCATGGCGGGTATGGTTTTTATCCCCATCCCCGCCCCATCACCCGCCAAACCAAGACCCATCCCCGCCCCGTTGGGACGGGGATGGGGCGGGTCTCCTATTTGACCCGCCCCACTGACATCCCTAAGCACGCCACTACCCTGCCAAATGGTTTTAGTACCGCACTTCTCATTCAACTCTTCCGCAGTCATATCTATGGTATCCGAGCACGCGTCTCGTATGACGTCCGTGCTAGGAGTAGTGGAAACCATGGAACCATCAACACGAAGCCCAAGATATGGTACACATCGTGCAGCATGATCGTGATCTCCCCAAATGGCATATGAAACGTGTTCGTATCTGGCTGCCATCTCTCAACAAAAGCAAAAATCAACGGCCAGTCGAGACGCTTAAACATAATCCCGGGTAAGTGAGACAGACCACTGCCATCAATTAATTCGAGGTGCTCCTGTGCAAGACGACCTCGCCAATTAACCAATTCAAAACACAACTGTGTCCTACTCAAACAGCGCAAAACATTTCGCTCCATCCCGCCCCATATATATGACGCCACGTGACCACCAAAACTAGGGATAACAGTCACATCCTCAGAACCACCTGGCATCGGCTGCTGCACTAACCATGTCTCTAATGATCTGGTAGTAAATTGACTCGCTTGACTACTAACAAACCTCCCATGCTGACCCTTATATACCGTATGATAATCTTGAGGTTCATACTCTTCGTCTCGATCAGCATGACTTGCCCGCTCTTCGTCCTCATTATCAGATGTAGGCAGTCCACTCGACGAGTACATGGGGAGGCTCCCTTGTGACTGATGCTCTCCCGTCCAACTACTAGGAGACCCATATTGCTGCTCATGACGAAACGGTGCCCCCGTAATTACTGAACGACCTGACTCCCTCCTAACAGACGCATTCAAACGTCTTGATATTGCATGACGAGCACCCGAACCCTCAATCTACATTAAATAAGTACAAAATCAAATATCATTAATAATTACAAATATAACTATGATATTAAAGTTGAACAACAAATATTCTTATTCAAAAAAATAATTTCAAAAAAAACAGAAAAAAAAATAATTACAATAATAACAATAACAATAATAACAATATTAATAACAACAACAACAATAATAATAATAATAATAATTATTATTATTATTATAAACCACATATTTTGCAACATACTAATAACAATATTACAAAACAACAACAACAATAATAATAACAACAACAATAATAATACTAATAACAATAACAACAATAATAATAATAACAACAACAATGATAATAATAGTAATATTACTAATAATAATAATATTACTAATAATAATAACAGTCCTAATAGTAATAACATTACTAATAATAATATTAATCGATTTTAAAAAAAATATTAATCACGAAAAAAAATCGGAATTGGGACATCCGCCTAAAATTTCCGGAAAAACCAAGGAGGATCCGCTTGAAATTTCCGGATCCTCCTTGGGACATCTGGAAATTTCAGGCAGATGTCCCAATTTCCGATTTTTTTTTTCGATTTAAACAACAAACACATACCTGTTCGCCTCTGGTGCCGCCGCCTCGACTACCGCACGTCACCCTGATTCGCCGCGGGTCCGCCATCCTTGGATTTCTTCTACCCTCCTTGGATTGGTGGCTATCGGTGGTGGGTTTTGGGTGTTTTTCCTTGTGAATTTTCTGTTTTTTATTATTATTATTATTTTTTCAGATTTTTTTTTTTAATTTATGATATTTAAGTTTTAGAGAGATTTTTAAATTTTAGAGAGATAAAATGAGAGTGAAGTATGAGCGTGAAATGTGTTGTAAGTGTCGTGAGTGAGTGTCGTGAGTATTTATATACGAGGGGTAAATACGGAATTTCAAGGAAAAAATGCAAGCGACACATAGTAAATTGGGAGCGACGTTTAACAACCCCCGAAAAAATTCATATAATACATTAAAAATACAGGGTATTACACAATCCTTCCTCTGCTGGTCTATGGAATAAATCGCCGCCCTTGGCGTGTTGAGCTGCATATAATTGCTGTATCAGCCCAAGTCTTTTCTCGGCCTGCCTGCCCTTTGTAAATTTTGCTACGCGGGCCTGCTCACTTCGTGTGACGCATTGTCAACTGGCCGCCAATTTGGCTCTGTCGGTGCTGTTTTATTACTAGTTTTTAAGAGTTCTTCACTCTTGATGTACTCATGTGCTTTGTTAAATGTTGCACCTAAGTTCGAGAAGGTTTTTCGGGCCATAAAGTCACAATCATTTAGTCCATTCATGAGGGCCATTACAGCTATTTCCTGTTGCAACTTGGGAATTGTATTTGCTTCATTGTTAAACCATCTGATGAAAGATGAAATCCCTTAGAGATTCGTCATTTTTTTGGCCAACTGCCATTAACTCCCCTGACGCCCTCTGCCTTGCACTGTTGCTTATGTACTGGCCAGTGACCATCTCTACCAAAATTTCAAAACAATCAATTGAACCGGGCTCTAGATTCGAGAACCAATATGAGCTTGCTCCCATAGTCCCATTAGTGTTGTCGGAAATACCTTGCACCACACGGCGTCTGTGTCGGTATATAATAACATATGACTCTCAAACGCAGCCACATACCTCTTGGGATCACCTTTCCATCATATTTGCATGACGACATTTTTATTTTTTCCATCTGCTGATCCAGGATCTCCTGAGTAAACGGAGAGACTCTCGGCTTGATCACAGCCTTGGTCACGCGCCTGATTGGCCCGCTGCTAGCTTCTTGCCTCTGAGAAACTGAATCTCCAATCCGCACGCTAAGGGGAGCTTGACGCTCTCTGTCTATGGTCCCAACCTTAGAGGGGGTGACCCTTCTTGCCCTCGTCGAGGTGGGGGTGCTGATTAAACTGACTCTCTAAATTAACAAACATAGGCACGGATTGCGCTCTGTTTCCTTCTGCTCGGCCAGCGGCTACTTTACTAACTTCTTTTCTTTTTCTAGACATCGCACGCATGACCCTTGCCGTCAGCTCCAGCTCCTCAGGATTGAACTCATCCATAGGATCCGAGGTTGTGGCATGGGGCTGCTCTGGTGTTATAGGCATATTTGTCGTATCACTGGGAATAAGGTGGGTTTCGTCCTCCACCATGATCTCGGGTATATTGTTAACAATTTTACTTGCACCAGTATTGAGAATATCAGTATTATAATTGCGGTTATCGGTTTCTAGAATAGGTACTACGGTTTCATTGTTCCCCTCCATGACTGCTTAAGGTTCTTTGGACGATAGAAGTTATTACCATCCCCTCCTTCTAGCGCCAATCCGGTAACTTGAGTCTTGGGATCTTTAAAGGTTTATCGGTCAATTAAGTACCTGCAAAGTCAATGCAAAGTAGCTAATCCGGGGGATTATCCGAGGATAACCGCTCCAATGCTAAAGTTAGCAATTTGATGATGAGAAGAATAAGAGAAGAGATGAGAGAGTGTTTAAGAGAGAGAGAGAGAGATTGTTAGAGAGATAAAGATCATACCTTAATAATGTATTATGCTTGAGTATTTATAGGAAAACAACCAAGCTGGTGCCACCTATCGACATAGATGTCAAGTAGACTTCGTAGGCAATAGGTGCTTACGTGGTCGAAAGCAGCTCTCCACGTGGCCATGACGAAGGTTGTTATGGAGAGTAAGCTGATATGCATAATAATGGAGAAATAATAACATAACGTGTTTTAATGATCGAAATCCTAATGGTGTCGGCACTATCCCGTACACCTTCTACTTTGGAATTATAATAAGCCAAATCAAACACTCATTGTGCTTTGTGCAATGAGAAATGGGCTTTATGTTTTGAGAAAGCATCTATGAAGCACTGGACTGCTATCCATTCTGACCATTGCCCCATATTTGTATCTCCTAATGGCTTTGTCCCCCTACAAGCATTACATAGACCTTTTCGCTTTCAAGCAACATGGATGTCTCATGAGAATTTTCGAGAATTTGTCGCTAAAAAATGGGACAGTAGTAGCTCATTAATGCCGGCTCTTTCAAAGTTATCAATAGATTTGCAAACATGGAACAGAGATACCTTTGGTAACATATTTAAACAAAAAGAGCCCTTATGGCACGATTAGGGGGCATCCAAAGACGTCTTGCCATTCGCCAGGATAGGGGATTAATCAAACTAGAAAACAAACTTCGACGTGACCTTGATGAAGTGTTGTCTAGAGAAGAAACTTTGTGGTACCAAAAGTCCCGAATTGAATGGTTAAAAGATGGTGACAGAAATACAACCTTCTTCCATCTTAGCACAATTGTTCGTAGGTGGAAAAACCGTATAGTTGCTATAAAAGGTAGTGATGGGGAATGGATACAAGACAAAGACTTGATTAAAGATCACATTGTGGGTTTTTTCTCGAAGTTATTCACTTAAGAAGGTGAACCGAACAGATTTGATGTGCCACAAGATGTCTTCCCTGAACTTTCAGTAGAGGACTGGAGAATTCTTACCCGTCCCTTTACACGGACTGAGATTGACGTTGTAGTACAAGATATGGCTCCTCTTAAGGCTCCGAGCCCTGATGGATACCAAGCCATTTTTTACCAAAATAATTGGGATATTGTTGCAAAAAATGTGTATGACACTTTAATTCCGATTCTTATAGGAAAGGGCATGCCTGAGAACTTCAATGCTACCTTCCTTGCTCTCATCCCGAAATTGGAGAAACCAGAGTTGGCCTCCCAATTCCGCCCTATATGGATGTGCAATGTCGCTTATAAGATCGTCACAAAGGTAATAGTCAATCGCCTTAAACCGATATTGCCTAATTTGATCTCCAACACTCAATCAAGTTTTGTCCCGGGTAGGCAAATTACAGACAATATTGTGATCATGCAAGAGGTTCTTCATACAATGAGAAGAAAACAAGGGAAAAAGGGATATATGGCTATCAAAATCGATTTTGAAAAAGCTTATGATAGACTTAGATGGTCATTTATCCGTGATACTCTTGTACAAATGAATTTGCCTATTACCATGGTTGAGGTGATAATGGAATGTATCACTACAGCGACTTTACAGATCCTTTGGAATGGGGAGCCCTCTAATAGCTTCAAACCAAGCCGAGGGGTTAGACAAGGAGACCCCCTATCCCCATACATATTCGTAATGTGCATGGAACGCTTTTACCAAGTTATAGAAGCGGCAATCGTTAATGGTTACTGGAAACCAATTCGGGCAAGCAGAGATGGTCCTCTACTCTCTAATCTTTTCTTTGCAGATGACATTGTCCTATTTGCAGAGGCTACAGTGGACCAAACATATTTAATTCAATCTTGCTTGGAACAATTTTGCCAAGCTTCTGGTCAGAAGGTGAGCCTACAAAAATCTCGTGTATACTTTTCCAATAATGTGGAGCATGAACTACAAAATGAGATTGTTTCAACGCTGGGAATGGAGACAACTACAGACCTTGGTTTATATCTAGGTATGCCAACGCTTACAAGCAGGGTTACCAAAGACACCTACAACCATCTATGCGAGAAAATAGATAGAAGGTTGGCAGGATGGAAATCCAAATACCTATCTCTAGTAGGTCGTATCACTTTAGCTAAATATACCCTCTCTACAATGGCTCTATACTCAATGCAATCAGTCAAAATTCCTCGTACAATCTGTGATAACATAGACAAAAAAAAGAGGAGGTTTATCTGGGGTGGCAATGAAGATAAGCGTAAGGTTCATCTCCTTGCTTGGGAAACTCTTCAAAAGCCAAAAGAACATGGTGGCATTGGCATTCACTTGGCAAAGCAGGCTAATGCAGCCTTTCTCACAAAGTTGGGTTGGAGGGTACTCTCTGAACCTCATTCTCTGTGGTCTAGAGTTTTGAGTGCTAAATATTGCAAAGGGAGATGTGATATTGATATGTTTGAGCCTAAACCAGGTATGTCAAATGTATGGAGTGGGATCACTGAAAACGCAAAACTTCTTGGAGAAGGTATGCACGTTGCTGTTGGAAATGGCCATAATATGGGATCATAAATGGGTGGGAGAGACGCCTTTAAGTGATGTTGCCACACAACCAATTCCTATTGAGCTAGCTGGAGCAACAGTTGAAGAAATGTGGGAGGAAAATAGTGGATGGAGATGGAATGTTTTTGCTTCAATTCTCCCACAAGACACGTTCAAGCTCATCCAAAATCATGAACTTCGTACTGATTCAAGTATAGGTGATTTGGTATACTGGAAAGGCGATTCAAAGGGAAAATTTACAATTAAATCAGCCCTTCGAATCATGAGACAAGAGACAGACACGCTTGATGAAGTCTGCTTGGACCTAATTTGGAAAGCCCCAGTCCAACAGAGAGTACAAGCCTTCCTTCGGCTAGCTTGCCATGATCGCGTGCTGAATAATCTGAACTTATATAAGCGCAATCTTACTGATTCTCCAGCTTGCTATATTTGTGGTGCTAATGAGGAGTCTACTCTTCATATTATCCGTGATTGCCCAGCTGCAAAATTAGTATGGCGTAAGTTAATACAACCTACGCACTTTGCCCAATTCTTTCAAGGGTCAAATAAAGAATGGCTGGAAACAAATCTTGCTGGAACAGAGAAATGTATGGCTGAGGACTGGCCTACTATCTTTAGTGTAACTACTTGGTGGATATGGTGTTGGCGTAACTGTTTTGTCTTTAACAGGAGGGATGAAATTCCAGTGGATATAGGAGCTTTTCTGAGGATACAGGTTGAAGAAATGAAGCGTAGCCTTGCACAAAATGCTCATAATCCAAATCAAGCACCAAAGCCAAGAGTCACAACTAGTATAACTTGGCATCCCCCTAACATGGATGAATATGTCCTCAATTGTGATGGAGCAGCTAAAGGGTGCCTTGGACCTGTAGGAGGTGGGGGCATCATCCGCAACTATGAGGGACGATTTGTCTCTGGATTCACAACCAATTTTGGGAGATGTACTTCTCTACGAGTTGAGATCCTAGCTCTGTTTAAAGGGCTCCAACTTGCACAAAACCTACAAATCAAGAAGCTAGAGGTGCAATTGGACAACCTAGCTTGTGTTCAAATCCTACGAAAAGGAGAAGCTAGTGGAGGGGAAAATATTCATGAGATTAAGGAATGCCTACGTATGCTTCAGAAAGATAATTGGAAGGTAGAAGTGGCTCACGTATATAGGGAAGGAAATCGTGCGACGGATTGGTTGGCCAACCGGGGCGTCTTACAAGACTCTAATTTTTGTATTATAAACTTTATTCCCTTAGAACTTGGTAGGATTCTGGATAAGGATGCAAGAGGGGTGACGACGCCTCGCCTAGTCCCTCTATAGACTTGCTTCCTTGCTTGAGGTTCTATTTTTGCTGTTTCTTTTCTTTACCTGCTTCTTGTGCGTTTCTTTTCCTTGGATTTAATCCTCCCATGAATCAAAAAAAAAAAAAAAAAAAAACACTGTGCTTTTCTCTTTCAGCAATGATGTTGAACCATCAGTAATTTAATAATAATAACAAAGAAGCAAACAAAATAAAACGAGAATCCTTTTGCATTTAGCCAAATAATGAAGAATGCTAGTTACAAACTTACAATCGAATAATAACATACATTGTAATGCACAAGGTGAAATTTTACATATCAGAATCCGAATCACTGTAGGAGTTCGAATTCCAAAATCTGGAAGACACAGCATCCTTGTATGAAGAGACAGAGCTAGAAGCATTGCTGAAGTCTCGGAAGCGTAAAAGTCCATTCTCCCCAGAACAGGCAGTAACGATTCGACACCCATCAGCGGCCATTGAATTACATCCTATCCTAGAACAAGATAGCTCCGAAGGACTGCAAATCAAGGTATTAGTGAGAGCACCAGTGTCAACGTCCCAAATGTTAGTGAAAAAGTCATCAGGACCACCAGTAACTATCTTGTATGGGTCCACATATACATGTGTAACTGGACCATTGTGACCCTCCATCTCAACTACCGGCCTTGAATTTAAACCATCTTGGCTTTTCCGGACATCCCATAACAAAGCTCTGCAAGAACAAATAAGGATAAATAATTATGTTCTGCAATAGCAACCAAGGAAGCATGCAAATTGAACATGTGAAACTACAAACTGTGACGAGTGACCAGAACTTCCAACATGTGAGACCCGATATATCTATCACCATCAAGAGAGCATGATTATCCTAGAAGTTTCCCTAATGTGTCAGTATCAGCATGAATTAGTGTTTTTATAAAGTTGCCTAATTGGCATCATAAGAAACACTGCCTAACTTATAAATCTAATATACATCATTAGCATATCAGGGGGACATTATGGGAGTATTGGCCTATTGGGGCTGTTTGGGAGGCTTGAGAATTAACAGGGGGCTTTTAAGGTAATCTGGGGTGGTGATATATCACAATTACAAATTTGAAGTCACTGTAAAACAAGGTAACAAAAGATGAGTGCCTTAAATATAATCCAAAACGATAGAGTAGTCCTGTCAAATATATCAAGGGATAAAGATGATAATGTTATCAGGGTGCAAAGAACTTCCGAATCTGGTTGGACAATTGCATATTCATATTTCCTTATTTTCATCAAATAAGAAAGGTTCAATTACAGTCCAATTTATATGTCGTATTGAAAGCCAGAAAGGGAGAATTCAGACAGATTAACTGCCATTCAAAAACTACTGCAAAATGATATAACAAGTATTTATTTAGCTCAGACATACATACTTGTTTTTTCCGCCAGTACAGATCAATGATCTGGAAGGCAGCATCTCAAATGAATAAAACTCTGGTTGACAAACAGCAGCAGTAAAAGCCTTCTTCATTGTTCTCAAATCTATTGCCTGAACAGAGTTACCAGCAGCTACATAAACCATTGACTCAAAGCATTTGATTCCGACAGGAGTGCCTAGCACAGAGGTCATTCCCACACAACTAGATGTCCGAGATGCAGATGCTAGGGTAGAGTCCCACACTCTGATCTGTTTTATACATGACAACATGAAGCAGAGCAAATTAATCATCCTTTATATATATACATAGTGGGTATCCAGTATCATAGAATAAAGAACAAAGATGTTACAAAGTAAAATCTCAGCTAAAGTATTTGATTGGTCATAGACAGCTCAAACTTGAAACACATAGGATAATTTGTCATACTTATTCCCAACCCTGGATACCCTCTTTCCTTATTTGCATGGGCCTAATACAAAGATGTAGTGAATAGTGATAAAAGAATTTTGGAAAATTTTCTTTGGTAAAACTCTATTTTTTATTTTCTATTTGGTGAATTGTAAAAACACTCATTCTCTTTGGTAATTATAAATTATTATATTAAGTTACTTATGACATTAAGGATAAATTTTTATTAGATCTTTCACTATAGTTACGTTTTTTTTTTTTTAACATTTAAATAATTTTAAAAATAATTAATATTTTAAAAAATCAACCTCTCTCCCACCCGTCAGCACCTCTCCCTTGTCTCCTCACTCCGGTCGACCCCCCCCCCCCCACCCCCTCCCATGCTGGCAACCCTACCCCAGCCACCCTCCTCTGCTCGTCAATCCACCCCCCTCCTTTCCCACACCCTAAAAACACCCCCAAACCTTAAGCCCCCCAAATCCTAAACCTGTTTTAGGGTGGTTTTTGGGTGGGGGATTTAGGGTTTGGGGGTTGTTTCGAGGTGGGGGATTAAGGGTTTAAGGGTTGTTTCGAGGTGGGGGAAAGGGAGGGGGGACATTTTGGGGTGGGGGAAAGGGAGAGGGGTGGATGTCAGGTTGGGGGAAAGGGAAGGGGGTGACTCCACGAGCATGGGAGGGGGTATCCGGCAGTGGGAAGGGGGGGCTAGGGGCTGCCGTCGGGGGCAGGGGAGGGGTGGTGGGTTGGGGGGTCTAGGGACTGCCGTCGGGGGCAAGATTACCATAGACAATAAAGTTTTTTCCAATTCACCAAAGAGAAAAATAAAAAGTTAGGTGTTACCAAAGAGAATTTCCAAAGAATTTTTGACTCATCCACCAAAAAGTTATACAAGGTTACAATTCCAGTGATAGCAACAGAAGATGGTTTCCAATCATCCTCTTGGTAAACAAAGTTTTGTTCTAACTTTCTAGACTACATAAATCTTTCACCACTAAAATCAGCAAGAAGTATTGAACATCTACTCGCTCCAGTTTAATTAACAGACCACATATAAATTTAAGTGTAAAACCTAATTTTTCTAGAGGCTTTGTTAAAATATACAAAGACATAATAAGGGCATTGGAAAACAGAGATCCAAATGTACTGGAGACAAAAGTTTGTCTCACTAGATCATCTTATTACTTAACTCGCTCTATTGACATCTCTAACTAGATACCTACTATGGAGGAACTGTAACATTTGGTGACAATAAGAAAGTTGAAATTATTGTGATAGGAAAGATTGGAAGGTTAAGTTCTCATGCAATGCAATTGATAATGTATTTTTAATTGAGGGTCTAAAGCACAACTGGTTAAGCAAATCACAATTCTGTAACAAAGGAAACTCTATAAGTTTTACTTCTAAACATTATCTAATCATCAACAATAGCACATGCAATATTATTGTTGAAGGAACTCGAAGAGGGAATAATTATATAATGGATCAAAATTTGATTTTCCAAAAGTAACTTAAATTGTCTTGGTCTAATTGAAGATGATCCACTTCGTTGGCATAAGAGGTTTGGTCATGCTAGTTTTCTTTTTACTTGATATGAGAAACTAGCATGTCCAAATCTTTAATGCCAAAAAGTTGGACTATCCTGAATGAGCACTATCCCTCAAAAATGGACAGATTTGGAGGGAAAATGAGAATCCACTTTCCCTCTCCCTTTCTTTCCTCTTCCCTCTCCTATTTCCTTTCCCTTCCTTTCTCTTCTAAATTGTTATACAAACATAATGTAATTGTTAATCACAAAAACCAAAGTTTCCACAGGTTCCGTTGTAACAACTTTGAAAAAAGATTTCCTACTACGGATTTGTTAAGCATGTGCTTTGTTTTTACTAATTACTAGCATTCTTCTTGGACCATGAGTTATTTAGATGTCCATTGTTCCCACAAAAGGTGCACACTTTGCGATTGGGAAGATTTACATAATTTTTCTTCGTACCATGATTTTTATTTTAGTTAAAGCCTAGTCCATCTATTGTTTTAGTTCAGGCATTCAAAATTCACTATGGAATTTCGTGATAAACTACTAATCCTTGAATCCTGAACACTATATACTTACGCACGAGCAAATTTGTTTGGAGATCAAAGGAGTTGTTACTTTTATAAAAATTAGTACTTTTATACAGCAGGGAGTGATAATGTATGGGTGAGGGTATGTTGAACAGAAAACACACTGGCACTTCCGCCAAACCACACCTGCACCTTTCAGAAAAGAAGAAAACTAAAGGAGAGGAAAGGTGTAAACAATCTTATCTCGAGAAAACTATAAATAAGTATATAATGAAGATAAGAGGAACCTATATATACTAGGAATTAGCAAATCATTTAGTCATTTCTTGCAAGTAAATTCAATTGGAAGTCAACTTTTTCAAACAACTTCCCCGAATTAAATTTCTCAAAAAGTTGACTCTGGATGAACCTAACAACTTTTCCTTCTCCATGAGAAAATATTAACTATTCAAAAAAGTTTTTTTTTTTTTTTTTTTTTTTTTTGGTGGTGGGGGGGGGGGGTGGTGGTGGTGGGGTGGAGCAAAAGAATTAGAATCAAAACAATGCAATACCTTTGAATCTGTTGCAACACTGACCAAAAGCGAAGGTTTGTGCCTGAAAAGCACAAGAAAAGAAAAGTACATAATTCTCACAGTAGAAGTTTACAAAAACCAACGGCAAGAAATGCATTGATGCTATAGACAAGAGAATAGAAGCAATATGCCTGAACATGTAGGGAGTTCTGAAGGCCAGAATCTTAAGAATAACTACTAAATACAAGGAGGTAATGCAGAGAGATATAATAAGGATGGGGTAAAATTAAAAAAAAAAAAAAAAAAAAAAAAAAAAAAAAAAAAAAAACAGGGGAACAACCTTGAAAGGTCCTATTTGTTAATCTTCACTTTTAACATGGGAAGTTAGATGATATTTTATGCTCAGGTGTAAACTGCAATTTAGGGAAAATAATAAAGAAGTTTCTTTCTAGTAAATGGAACATGGAAGTAATGATGATCACTACAAACAGGAGATATAACCAGAACATCTATAACTATTATGGCTGTAACAATTACGATGTCCAAGTAGAAATACAGTAATTTTTTTGTCAAAATGAAGGGCATACCCGGCAACTGACAATAATATAATTGGTTTCTCATGCCCATGTAATGTTACATTCAGGGCATGCTGACCACGTTTGCCACTTGAACTCAGAGACCACAGACGAACTGTGCCATCTTCTCCACCACTAGCAAGCACTTTTCTACCCTTATCGCCCAATAATTTATCTGAGAGTGCAGAAACAGGACCATTATGACCTCTAAAACATCGGAAGCAAGAACCCTGTAATGGATATAAAAATAAAATAAAAAATAAAAAAACTGAGAACCACAAAAGAGTAAGCAAAGGTCAAAAAACTTTCAGCAATGGATGAAGATGAGAGATAAAATTGATTTTCATTAAGTGCATGATAATATAGAACTTTCTCCATTCCAAGTTGTTGGTTACATTTGGTGTTTTTACGCAGTTATTCAGGAAAAGAAGATAGTGGAAAGCAATGATTAGATGTCACATATATCAAGTATAAAGGTATTAAAAGTTGGAAAATGGGACTATTTGCTTTGGGTTTTTGAGTAGGTAAAAGATTTTGGAAAATAGGAATAGTTGCTTTGAGAGTAGGTAAATATTGTGGTAAATGGGAAGAGTTGCATTGAAAGTAGGTATATATGAGGGAAAATGCGTAGAAAATTAATTTTAATCTAGGAAATAATTGAAACGTAACCAACAAAGGGAAACGCCCAAAACAGCAAACATAAACAACACTGTGGCATGGAGGAAGTAATAAGCTTGGATCAAAAAATGGCATCATAAGCACAACCCATTCCTTATCAAAAAGTTCACAACTACTGGGAGTTATCTAACTTATGACCCAATTAGCAAGAAAATTTGGACAATGTTAAATCTTAGTCAGCAACTTTTCTCAAAATAAAGAGCTACTGAAATACTTTTACTACTACCTCTTTTCACCCAAATAACAAAAACTAAATTTTTATTGCTTACCAGACCAGCTTGTTAGTTGTTACCTTTGTCAGACACTAATGTGTCTTATTATTTATTTTGAGATGAAAACTAAAGCTTGGATTATAATACTGATTATCTTGTTTTGATTGGCAATCTTCTTTTACAAGGTTTGAGGATGTAGCATTTCTATAATCAATCACCAGTCATACACATCTTCTGGTGTCAATTAAATCGTAATTTGTAGAGCGTGTAAATTGCATCGCTAATCCATTACATTGATCATGTTATAATAAGCATGTCGAAAGAAAATGATGAAGAGCTGAAAATGAAAATTGAAATAAAAAAAAATTGAAGATAGATTTCGAATTTGAGAGACTATATAGACTTCTCACAAAGCTAAATTAGTAAAACTAATATAAACTTCTCATAGTCCCCTTCTTTTCCTACCCTCCTCTATTTATATAGAGTGTCTGACTTCATTCCTCAACTTTCCTGTCTTTTCACTTGAGCTTCCTTACTGATTTACTAAGCAATTCCTTATGCCCCTCCTATGGCTGGTTCATTACAGATCATCACCTTATTTTACTTCAAACTAAAAGAAAAAAAAACGGTGTGGTAAAAGTGAACCAGCATAGCTCAAGTGCTTGACTACTGTAGGTATTAAAGTGGTCATAAAACATCAAAATACTTTGAAATTTGTTCCTCCATTCAGTTATTCTATGGAGGCATCTGAAGATGTGGAATGGCCAATTCAACTGCAATACAATAACCAGACAATAATTATGCTGAAGGTGGTCTAGGCGGACCGACTGTAGACTGTGCAGAGGCAGTTTGCAGTAGACGCATAGGGATAACATGGTACTTCCTCTGTCCCTAAATAAAAGCCCCATTTCTCCCAAATTACTTTTCTCTAAATAACAGCCCTATTTTTCATTTGGGTGGGGTCTATCATCCACTAACTTCTTTTTTTATTCACTTCTAATCAACAAAACCCCGCCAACCCCACTATATTTTCTCTTCCCTTAAAACCAATAAACTAACTCATTATCATCCTTTTTTATTCAACTTCAGTCAATAAAATTCCACTACATTCCTCATCTTAAACCTCTAAGACTGCGGGTTCGTAAAAAATGGGGCTTTACTTTTGGGATGAAGGGAGTAAAAAGAACTTCAAGTTTTCAATGCACAATGCTTTTGGAACTATAATTTGATGTATGTTTCCTTTATTACTCTAAAACTATATTCAGGATGCTCATTTATTATTGTTTGGTGCTAGAGAATGCTTATACATAGGACCTTGTCTCTAAGATACTTTGAAGGTAACAAAACTTAATATTATGAATAAGTAGTCTGATTTTCAATGGACTAATTCAAACACTTGAAAGAGAGAAGTGAAAATTCTCTCTACACAAAAATTCAAGTAATGTCCCTCCTTCCTACCAAACAAAGTATTGTCTTGGTGCAATTTTGATATGCAATAATAATTCATCATAATACATTATTCAAAAAATTACAAAGATAAATTTCCTCCATTTTTGTAAGAAATACAAACTTAAGTAATCCTTAGCACATGAGTCAAGAACTATCAAGAAACTATTTACTCAACTACTATGTAGTTTGTTGTATCAACTAACCAATCATCACAATTCACAAAGATTTGTATTTGTGATTCAATAAATCCTTAGAGCAACCCATTAATGTCTCTATGCTTTCCTTTATTCACACTTCAAGGAAAATATTAATTAAAAAAAAAAGGGTAATGATATTACTTGAATGTGCCACCAAAGTTCAATGACAAAAGCCTTTTTTATTCCAAAAAAATAAACTAATCATTGAACAATTTCTATCATAAGTATTTCATTCCATCATGCTAACTATAGCCTTAAGAATTGACATGTCATGGCAACAGAAAAAAAGCACCATACCTTCCACCAAAGGCGTATGGTGCGATCAGAACTTGAGGTTATTAATACAGTTTCATTGTTTTGTGCCTCACTTCGAATAAAAGATGCCTCACTGATCGGAAATAACCTGCAAAATATACATATTTGTATTATTAATGATTAAAATGATATATATGCTGCTTCAACCAAAGTGATTTAGCACTATGTCAGAATCTTAATTTCTAGACTCCACTAAAGGCAGAATTATATAACAGAAGATACAGTAACAAGCCTATGTGTTCCTAATTTCTTATACTTACATTCTGAATTTACAGCTAAATTAAATTGGAATATAACACTTATTGGCTATTGTTGGAAATATTATACGGTCCAATTATGGTGGACCAAAGTGAGAATTATTCATACAGAAGTAATTATAGCTCCAGAAGTAATTTGATGATCTTAACTACAATTCATTTCTCAGAAGAATCAAATAACAACAATTCTCCTACATGCTGCCACTTGTTAAGCTAAGATTACAAGTATTCAGGGTCATCAACTCAACAAGGTGGATATGACCATAAAAAAGAACCAAATACAACAATGATCTACCCTATTCCCCATCCCCTTTCCCAGATCCAACAGATGTAAAAAGCCAAACATATAATATAAGATGTTATACATACCACAACGTGCATTGAACTTACCTCATGCATGTAATCCTTGCATTATGATCGCTTAAAGTGACCAGGCATTCTTTACCATTTACAAAATCATCAATCTTCAGAAGGCGTACCAGTGATCCCTGTTGAATGGCATATAATAACACAACCTTTTAATAATACAACAACAAAGTAACTGATTGAGTAGTTAAGACAAGGCAGAAGGGTTCATCCTATAATAGATGTCAAATTCTGTCTGACATTGACTGTGGCAGGACAAACCCCATATATAAGATAGCATGTGAAAGCTAGAAGCAAACAATTTATAGACATTTGCACAAGTAAAATAAAAGTCAAGCCACCTGAACACATAAAAATGGGCCAAGGCAGCAGATTAAATGCTATTGAGTGAACTCTTAAGCAGGAACAGCTAACAGTTCATCATCTGGGTGCTCCATAATATGTCACGAACATCAAGATTAAATTGTTGCAGCTAATACCCAGATAAAACGTCCTCTCTAGGAAGCATACCCACCCAAACAAATTTTCAGGTCATTTATTCTGGTAGCAAGACAAAACTATGTCCTAGAATGCACCCACAGTCCTAGATAAATCTGCCATTCATGCAAAAAATTGACAACAGTGTTGCCATACTCACCTCAACCTTGGACTCCTAATAGAGCTCTTTACTCCTCAACAATTTGTTCTAAAAACCTTAAATTGATGGATAAGCCTCCAAGTATTCAACAAATAGAAGACTCCAAGGAATGGCCAGATTTACACACATCACAGAGTGTATGTACTTGCAGAAAAATGAAAAGAATACACACCACATAACCTGAACATTGTAGGTCCACCTACTTTTTTTTTTTGAGGAAATCTACTAAATCATATTTTAATGAAAAAAAGAATTATAAGAACAATTTTTATAAAAAAAGATACATGATAAAAATTCTTTTTACTTCTTAAAATGGCCAAGAAAAACTACCCTTAGGTCTTGTCTGGATTGTGATCAAAGATTTGAGGAGGGGGACAGTTATATGGGAGGAATCATAATTTCAGTTCGGTAAAATTAATTTTAGTTTCGTAAAAATAATTTAAGTTCACAAAAATAATTTCAATTCAGTAAAAATAATTTCAGCTCAACAAAAATGAGGTGAAAAGAACATGGCCTTACATAGGTTTAAGTTCAGTTATGGTAAAAATTTTAAAAGAGTAATTGTTTATTTTTATAGTGTTTTGATAAAAAGGTAATTTTTCAAATCAACAAAGATCCAAAAGAAGTAGCTTTCTAGATGAGAGAGAAAATATAATTTACACATGAAGTCTCCATCAAATTAACAGGGGAAGGAGAAGACTCCTTGAAAACATAGTAGCTAACTAGCTATTGTTTGCAATTAGAATAGAATTACATGAAAAATTAAAAAGCCAAAAAATCTTGTGCATGTGCCACCATGGAAGAAAGAGGGAGAATGAGAGAAGAAAGAGGAGAGGAATGTAATGGTGAATAATGAGTTGATGACATGAGGAGGGAGACTACTATTGGGTTTTTGGGCTCAAATTGTTACCTAAGTAAGGTACCCTAGGGTGGGGTAGAGTAATGAATTACCCTCATGTAGGGGGAAAATTAGCCATATTTCCAACCCTTATTTTATACCCCTCCATCCAATCCAAGTGACCCTTAACTTGGTTAGGTACAGCCAAAGAGACTCAACAAATCCTTCAAAGACTGTTTCATCTAGATCCTATTCATTATGACATACATCCAGATCACAATGGATAAAAGATAATAAACTAATGAAGAAAGCCATAATCTAAAATGAGGAAAGGATATGCCCTGATAGCAGCCATGGGCATATAGTCAGCCCAAGTAATCTAAACTTATGGTACTACTATGATAAAACTTTTCAAAAATTAACTCTAAAAGCAGGGCCTAATTTAAAAAATGAATGCATATAGCCCCAATACAAATGAAGCCATATCAACATTTCACCAGGTACCTTGTAGAGAATTTAGGTTCATCCAAACGCTTCACCACATACATCTTCATAAAATAATGCAACTAGTGTTGACTTAGTGGTGAAAATACACACAAGTTATTTCCTTGGTGATGCAAATTTAACTTTTGGGAGTTCAATCTTGCTAAAACAGTTCCTGCCAAGGTTATCCTACATTGGATGGATGAGAGGAGTAGGATCGGGTCGTTCATCGAATCATGAGGTCGTAAGATTCTACTAAATAGTGAAAATAGTGTTATTATTGCTACATTGTGATATTAAATTGCATATTACAACAAATATTGATCATAAAGACATTGTTTTACTTACAAAAGGTTCATATTAAGAGTACAAGCCATTAAAATTTAAAAGTCATACGACTTTGTAATTGATTATATATATGTAAGGTTTGAGGCTTTAGGTAAGATTAGTTTCACAACTAAATAGAAATGAATTTGATTGTTTTTATTCTTTTTTTTTCTATTTTTTACAGCAACAATGATCAATCCTTGTAATGATATATGAATATGAAGTATAAAGTGTATATAGTAATAATATTAAAAAGGTTTATCTTCTTAAATTATCACTGTACATAAGATCAAATCGCTGGATTGTAATGTTGTAGAATCGCATAAAGATCCTACCATCCAAAAATTTTATCAAGGTAGGCTACAATCATTGAGATCCTATTTAAGATCCGGATTGGTGACATGATTTTGGATCATACAATCGTATGATCATAAGATCCGTATCGTGATTTTAACAACCATGGTTCTCCTTGCTCCATTCAAATTGAGCACAACAAGCACTTTCACATCCATTTCACCAATATTGACATTTGAAACAAATATCAAAATGGATCAATAAAGGTCTATCAATTTTTCAATTTAATATAAATCACCAATCTCAATATGTTCAAAAACATACTAGTCTAGATTTTTCTTTCAGGACAAAGTTTACATAGAAGTTTCATAAATGTTAATGTATAGATACATAAGATTTATTCATACAGCAAGGGAAAAACCGTAAAACATACCTGTGAAAAAATGATGTCATTTTTTCCTAACAATACATGACTGAAAGGTCTTGAATCAGTATAGAAGTCAGCAACCAAAGGATCAACAAAGCTAAACTTCCCCACTGCCGCACGCCTGCTTAAATAAGCTTCCCTCGTCGTTGATCCTTGAGAGTTTAAACTAAATGTGTGCTTTGGCCATTTCTCCCTTCATTTGAAAAAAAATAAATAAATAATCAGAAAAACAATACGCATTGTAAATCATCACTAAAAATGCAATGGACTTAGCTAGCATGATATGCAATCATACATACACTTTATTTGTGTTTTGGATTAGAAAACTCAAATATCTTACAAAATATCCAACACAGATGCGGATTACCACTAATCAACACTTGAGAATCGGTTCATACGGAGGTAAATCATTCATATGACGAGCCCCTTGATTACAATCTCTATGAACATGACTCCATAAACATGCCTTTAAACAGTTAGCTACACCACAAATTAAAAATTATAATTCATAAAAATAAAAAAAAAAAAAAAAAAAAAGGCAAACAAACAAACAAACTAAACCCAAATAAACAATAAGCTACTCTCAGCATACACTCCTTATTTTGTAATAAATTTGAAAAAATAATAATAATATAGTGTCAATATGATTGAATATACTGCCTAAATAATTATGTTTCAATGGTATATCTTGATAAGAAAACTTGAAACCCTCCAATTGCTAAATACTACCTCTGCTTCTTATATTTGCAACGAAGGGTATTATTTGTGAATCATAAATTCTTTTGTTGCAAATAATAAGAAACGGAGTTATTATATAATCGCAAAGTCTCATCAAAGAGATTAACTCGGAAACCTTCCCATAGTTAAACATACAATCGCAAAATTGTTGACTGTTCATCAAATAGATCAACTCGGAATCCCTCCAACAGCTAAATATACAATCGCAAATCCCGGGTTTTGAATGTTTATCAAGGTAAATTAACATATGCCGATCATGTCAAAACTCAAGAATTACCAAATCATAATGAAATTGTAGCCAAATTAAATAAAATAAATTAATACCGGAAGAGACGGTGCCAAATAGAATCAGAATCAGTGGCAGTTCGGAAGAATTTGCAGGTGATAGCCATGTTTGAGATGTCTTGGATGCTTAAATAATTTGTACAATGTACCAATGAATCGACATCTAAGTCTGTAATTGATGTTGAACTCGATGAATTCATATCGTTTTTCGAAGATGAAATTTCCGACATTTTTTTTCTGGTTATTTTTGGTTTGTGAAATTGCAATCAATTTTGAATTTGATTGAAGAAAAGGGTTGAGAATTGGATTGAATTGGGTGAAATTGATTTTGAGGGTTTATAATTAGGGGGAAATAGAGCGGGAGAATTAAAAAAAAAAAAAAAAAAAAAAAAAAAAAAAAAAAAAAAAAAAAAAAAAAGGAAGGAGTTGAGTGATTGCGGCTTTTATTAGGGGTGAAAGTCAATCGAATTCAATCCAAAGTCTAATCCAATTTGAAATAGGAATCAAACTAGAATCCCTTCAAAAAAAAAAAAAAAGGGAATCAAATTAGAATTTTGAATTGTACTACTAATTGGATTGGATTAAACTTTATTGTATTTTTAAAGTTAGTTTTCAAAAAATTTTATAATTTGTTTACAGGTAAGACAAGACACAGGAGGAAATTGTAGGTGGAAGTATCCAAGGATGTGCCCGATCCCGGTTTGAGACCACGAAATGGTGAGTGTATCTCAGTGGAGCTTCCACTGAGCTATTCACTCATTGCACCAGTTAGTTTTCAAATAAGTTTGATGGAAGATGAGATGAATAAGCAATAAGACAAAATTGTTTACAATAAGTCATAGGAAATTTTGTCCAAAACTACCCTATAATAGGCCTGGTTTGTGAACAACTACTCGAAAAAAGTTATTAGTAAACAACAACCTCAAATGCAAAAAATTTGTTTTGGCACTACCCTTTAACAGATTCATCCACTTTTGCCGTTTGTAGGCCTATATTTTCTTCAATTCAACTGCCTAACTCCTCCCTTATTCAATTTTCCTCCATTTTCTTTCACCTTTCACCATTTTGTTCTACCTTAGCAAATCATACTAATCAAAATCTCTTTCCTTTTCAAGTAATTTAATACCAGTTGATTTGTAACAATGTCATTCCAATCTTCTTCATCAACCAATTTGAAAATCTGCATCCCCTTCAATCAAATGCAACATCATAAATTTTATAAGAAAAAAAAATCCATCGAATTATTAGACATTCTACATATGAAACTTTGAAAAAAAAAATAGCAAAAATAACCATTGAATTGAAACACTAAAGCCTCGAAATGCAAAAGCCCGAATTTAATTGAAACCCTAAACCGTAAAAATGCAAAACCCCGAATTCAATTGAAATCTTAAACCCTAAAAATGTAAAACCCCTAATTTAATTGAAACATTAAACCCTAGAAATGCAAAACCCCTAATTCAATTGAAACCCTAACTCCTAAATAGAGTCCATATTTGTGATAATTCAATAAAATTCAAAACCCTAAACACATTATACTACAAATAAAAAAAATTACTTACAAAATTACCCGTTGCTAGAATTTGGTGACTAATTATCTTCAACAACTTCGAAATTTTAAGGTTTTTGATTTTACATTATTGTTGAAGGGAAAGAAAAACTTAATGAACAAAAAAGTGGGTCTCATAAACGACAAAGTGCATGAAATCTGTTTAAGGGTAGTGCTAGTCAAAGTTTTTTCATTTTATAGAGTAGTTATTTACAAAAAAAAAAATTCGAGTAGTTGTTCACAAAACTATCCATTTATAGGGTAGTTCTGGCAAAATTTGACTATTTATATTTTGTCCAAATATACCCTATAAATTTATATAATTTATTTTTTTTTAATAATTTTGACTACAGCGTGTTTTCTGTGTGGTTGGCCACACCGTGTAGCCGGCTGACACACATCAAAACACTAACCATGTAACCCCTAATCGACCGAGTAACCCCTGACCGGACGAGTAACCCCTGACCGACCAGTTACCCCTGCTTGATCAAGTAACCTCTTACTGATCAAGTAACACTTAAGCAAGTAACCCCTGACCGACCGAGTAACCCCGGCCACACGGTGTGGCTAGTCACTTATGAAACTTTGTGTTTTGACTATAGTTTTTTTTTTTTTTATAAACGTAATAAATACATATTTTATCATGAAATAAATTGTTGGATAGATATTAACATAAGGATTCATAATATAGCTTTTTTTTTAATAACTTTTATTGATGTTTAATTATATAAAGATTCAGCGTGTTTGTGTGCGACTAACCACACCATGTGGTAGCTTGTAAAAAAAAAAAAAAAAAAAAAAAAAAAAAAAGTAATCCTTATGATACTGATCGAGTAACCTGATATGTCCATTTTATATAGTGATTTACCCCCGTCCCTTGGTCATATTTAGGAGTATTTTTTGGCTGTACGGAGCTATTTTTATTACTAATATGTGTTTTCTAGTGTTTTCGTAGTTTTTGTATTGTTTTATAGGATATTACAGATTTGGAGCATTTCCCGAACTTATTTGAGCCATTGCGAGTATTGGATATGGATTGCATTGATATGATCATATGACCATACTCCATAGCCCAAGACCGCGTTAGAGTAATCAAACCGGTGATTAAGGGCTCGGCCAATAAGAGGAAACCGAGGCAATAGACCAAGTTTCAAAGACCCGAGGAGGAAAATCCGGATTGGGCCAAGAAGGAGCGCAAAACGAAGAGTCCAAGTGGCCCGAGAGTCCAAGGAGCCCAAATCCGGATTGTAATGTGTAGCGAAAGCCCTTTATGATCCAATTTAATTGATGCATTGATAATTGATGGTTGTGCTTTGCCCCGTAATATTATTTATTGGTGAACCTAGCTATACCTTAGGCTTTGATTTATTACTATTCCCCTTATTTTTATTTGCGTTAGTTATTTTATTCTCCTTAGTTTAATTCTCGTAAAAACAATTTGGTTACTTGATAATTTAGATTATATTATTTATTTAGGAATAGAAATACATTGTTTCTTTGTGGATTCGACCCTACTTCCCTATCTATTTTAGTTAGAGGACTTAGGAATTACTTTTGATTTGGTGATACAACTTTAGCCTGTCAAAATTTGGCTCTGTTGCCGGGGAAATGGTTTTATTTTTATTTTTGATTATTTTTGTACTCTAGATTATTTTCTTTCGTCTCAGAGAACACAAGTTCTTTGGGACAGTTTCTCATATTTGTTTGTTTAGTTCTGTGTTTATGCCCAGGGGTTCTAGATCAGGCTACATTCCATTCGATCCTGAAATCGAACGTTCTTTCCATAGACAGAAGAATCTTTTCAGACTAGTACGAGCTAATACACCTTTGGAACCCCCATCTGATTCTAGCAACACAGATCTATCTTCAGAACCAGAATCAGAGATTACGGCTCAACCACCTCGCAAGTTCAGCGATTATTCGCAGCCGTCCCTGATGGATCTTCCACATCTTGCTCGTCCACCAGATCTCAAGGGAGTACAATTTGAGATCAAACCCCAGTTTATTACTATGATCGAAAAGAAGCAATTTGGCGGAATTAAGAATGAAGATCCTAATTTTCATATTTTGGATTTTTGTTAATATTGCAATACCATTAAACAAGCTGGGGTCACACTGGACCAAATCAGGGAGATTCTTTTTCCCTTTTCTTTATGTGGTAAAGCTAAATTGTGGTATAATGGATTGAATACAACTACACTTGGTATTACTGATTGGAATTCTCTTGCTTTGAATTTCTATAATAAATATTATCCTACAGAGAAGACTGCTTTATTACGAAGTTCAATCCTAAACCCAAGAAGATGATGAGTCTTTATATGAAGCTTGGGAAAGATTAAAGGATTTGCAGAAAGAATGCCCTCATCATGGGAATTTACAATGGTAGTTGATCTAAGCCTTCTATAACGGGCTTGGAAATTCTTCAAGATCAATCCTAGACTCTACAGCTAACGGAACATTTATGAACCTTCAAGAGGATGTAGCAGGCACAGTTATTGAGGAGATGGCAAATTCATAATTCCCAATATGGGAATCCTAGAGGTTTTGCAAACAAAGGGAAACATCATGTCGACTCCGTATCCTTTGTGCAAGCTCAATTAACCTCTATTTGCCAGAAATTAGATAGTCTTAGTATTGCTATTCCATCTTCCGTAGCTAATGTTTCTACAATCAATAATACTATTACGGATGCTTTTTGTGAAAATTATGGAATTGTAGGTCATTGGGCACAAGATTATAGGAGCCCCATGGAGCAAGTTAATGCCTTCCAAGCCTATAAGCATAATAACCTATACTCTAACACTTATAATCCTGGCCTCCGGAACCACCCAAACCTTTCTTACTGGAGTACTAATGTGCTAAATCCTCCACCTCCATAACAACCACAACAACAAGCACCATAACAACCACAATAGAAATACTACCAACCCCGGCCCCTAACCAGAGAACCCAACCACAAACTCCACCTCCATCTACTGATCTTGCCCTGTCAGGAATGAAAACGATGTTAGCCAATATGCAAAAGCAGATGCAGAGTAGAGATGCACAAATTGACTCTATGCTAGCACATAATAAAATAATAGATACTCAAATTGCGCAACTTTCCTCTACTCTACAAACTCGCCAGCAGGGAGCCCTACTATCGCAGCTAGTACAACCTACAGATCACGCAAATGCAATTACCCTGAGAAGTGGTTCACATTATGATGGGCCTTCTATGCCCAAGGGTGATGAGCCTATCATTACCAAAATTGCTAATCCTGATTCTGTTATACCAAATAATGTTGTTACTAGCCTTGAAGGGCCAAGGGTAAAGCTAACTCTTCTAGTAATCCTCTGTAGGGTAAAACTCATGACAAGACTGGAGATGTGCAGAGTCCTACTATCAAACTTCCATTCCCAAATAGACACCTGAATAATAAGTTGGATAAGCAGTTTGGTAAGTTCCTGGAGGTTGTCAAGAATTTGCAGGTAACAGTTCCTTTCACATAATTAATTACACAAGTCCCTACATATGCTAAAATTATGAAAGATATATTGACTAAGAAGACAGCCTTTTAATGAGGTAGAGACTGTAGCTTTCACAGAGGAATGTAGTGCTTTGTTGCAAAATAAATCTCCACCAAAATTAAAGGATCTCGGTAGTTTTTCTATACCTTGTCATATCGGAAATCTTTTCATTGATAAAGCATTATATGATTTGGGTGCCAGTGTTAGTGTAATGCCATCTTCTGTGTGTTCAAAGCTTAATATGGGTGATTTAAAAGTTACTAACATTACTTTGAGAATGGCAGACCGTTCTGTTAAATACCCCTTAAGTATTCTAGAGGATGTTCCTGTTAGAGTTGGTAAATTTTTTATCCCTGTTGATTTTGTTGTTTTAGACATGGTTGAAGACACACAAATTCGTATAATATTGGGTAGACTTTCCTCCACACTGCAGGGGCCCTTATTGATGTCAAAAATGGAAAACTTACTCTATTTTGTCGGGGA